GATTCATGAATGTTGTATAAGTTGCACATGAGCCTAGCTGCTCGCTAAAGAACCGGTAGGTTGATCGGGTTATCAATTGAAGCGGGGGGGTTATATATATTGTTTGAGTAGAAAACTTATGGATGGGGGGGGTGCGGGCTTCGCTTTTTTGCAGACGAACGTCTGCCCAAGAAACTAGTCTTGAGTTTCATCAGATTTCAGCGCTACCTGGGGACATCATTCATACCGTATGACATATTATGAGTAGAGACCCTCCCCGAAATTGTAGTGCGGCCGTCCGATGTTCTTATCGGACGGCATAGCATCCAGAAAGTTTGGAGGGTGAGCGTCGACCGTCCAGATCGAAGACTGGAAAGCGCATCCGACGGTCCAGGATACCCCTTGACACTGAACAGGATCAGAACTGTGGTACTCAGGCAGACCACCGGTAGTGTCAGTGATGAGTGCGCATTCACCTCCCTTCCGACCAGATCACACACTGACACACATGTGCGCAGGGCAGAACCTGGTCATCATCATGCGCGGGGAGCGTTTCATGGCGGAATCACCACGTTGAACACGGAGCAGCAGCATGGCTCTGCGGGGAGTGTGGCAGCTGAAGCGCTTGGTGATCAGCTTCTGTGATTTCTCGGGGAGCAGCAAGGGGGCGCGGTACGGTCCGGCGCTTTTTTCCTCCACTTTTTTTGCCGCTCCTGACAATGCTGGGAACAACTTTTGATTTTCTTTCCTACGCAACTCCCTTTGGTAGGGGATTGATGCGACGGATGTAAATACTGATATTGCTTTGCAGGTGGACCATTACCTGCCTGGTTCAGAATTAGGGTTTACTGCCTCACATGATCGTATTCACCGGTGACCTTCTTTGAAGAGCTGCAGAGTTCAGTGCAAGCCTGAATGAACTACGTGCCGAAACAACCGGCCTTCCTACTGCGGAAGCATGATACAAATAAGAACAAAACTGCAACATTCACTGATTGATGGTTTTGTTAGTGGTTTTTGCACCCCTCTTGGGTCTACATTCTTTGTGCCGCGCCTGAACTTTGTACGAAGGGCATGAATTTGCATCAGCTACAGCACGTTCTGTGCGGGGGTGATCAGCCGCTTACTGCTCTTGCAGGGACTTTGCTTTGAAGGGCCAGCTCGAGGAGTTCATCAAGGCCAACCCACAAATTAGAATCCTGACGCACATCAACCGGGGCCAGCATCCGTATTTAAAAGGCACATACGGTGAGGCACACTTCGAAGGGCTCTGTAACAATTTGAGAGTACGCCTCAGGTCGGCCCAAGCCTTTTCTTGTTGCCCCGCCCTTTCCACTTTCCAAAGAGGTAACTTTAGGATCTGTACCACCGAGCGAGGCCGTCAACTTGTACATATCATAGGTGCCCCAGAAACCCCAAGCGAGTTCTTATGCAGCCACAGTAAAGGAAATTTGCAGCACAGTGGAGCATGGTCGGCGGATGCCCTGACGATGAGACTTGACGCAATATGGAGCTTTCTGCTTGACGATGGGCTTCGGTATGTCATGTGCTTGTATTGAAACATGCAAGTCTGATTCTTCGATTGTTACAAGAGAGGGTTGAGCTCGCAACTCTGCAGCTTTCCAGAAGGCTGAGGTCTGTGCGCCTAGCCAACCGCTGGGAAAAAGGTTTGAGAGTATAGACCATGATCTGATGCTGGGGCACCTGGGTCTTTCCAAAACACGCATGACAGTGACGGGGTTCAACCGAGTACACTTTACTACTTTGCAAATCTCAATTGCCTCCGCACATTTTGACCAGATCCTTGTGTGGCCCTTTTGCAGCGAACCTTTCTGAGCACAGCGTTGGGGTGAAGAACCAAGACAGCAAGGCCATATTGGAGGCCGCTCTGACTCTCCGGAACGCCACGGGGAGGAAAACGACGCTTCCATTGCGGAACAGGCAGGTCACGAGGACGCCCAGTATACAGGGGACTTGGACGCCTTTCTCAAAAATACGGGCCACGACGGTCCGAGAAAATATCGAGCAATAACAAAGATGGGCTGCCACCTTGGGGGTGCATGAAAGCTCCGTTTGTAGATTCATGTTGAGGCGCTCTTGTATATACCAAGTCATTGATAGTTGAAGTCCTTTCTCGGCAAGTTTGTTCGCTAAGGCTTGATAGATTCATCTGTCAACGGTCAATGAAGTCGACGGTTGCCCTTAGGGGCATGTCAATCCCCTGATTTATATCTGAGGAAGTTCAGCAAGTCATTTTAACGAAACTTGCCGGTCCGGCCAGGCACAGTATTAACTTCTTGGTATCGCGCTGTACCAAAGACAAAGCATTCAGACTACAATTGCGAGATTTGGAGTTTAACTTATGCGCACCTGGTTGCGCACTGAATGACTTGCATGTTCGGTTGCACGAACGAAGAATGAAAGCTCACATGCACTGATTGCTGTAATACAACGAGATTTAGAGAGCCGTGATCTACACATTTCAGTTCATGACCGAACTCCATGCAGCCGCGGTTAATCTACACCTAACTGGATTGATGAGCCGAGTACGCGTCATGCCGGCCAATACTGATATGGCTGCAGGCGACTCCAAATTTCAGAAGTTCTGCAAAAACGTTCAAATAAATTTTGACCGCGGGCGGCCCCATGCCGGGCACATAAGATACAAAACTTTTTGCAGCCAGAATCTATAATTTTTCCATGGCGGCGGCCGCGGGCCAATTTCGGCAGGGTCAAAAGATTTATAGCTCACTCGATCAAGTGGGAGCCCGCCCAGATCGGATGCATGTCCAACTCAAGAGTCCGTCATATATTCGATCGACGCGTCCTCGCATAAATGATCGAATGAATCATTGGCGCAATCGAGTTATGTAAGCTGACAAGGCTTAACATTCTCGCCGTTCGGGTCTCAGTCCGAGACGTTTTATTAACACGGGCCAGCATAATCTGGGTCGATCGTAGTGACCGCCTATAGTGCGTCTACAAGCGCGGCTCAGCTCATCATCGACCTCAATCATGTATGGGACACTTCTGCAGAGGCATAACCGCAGGAGCTTCCAAGTTTAGGCCTCGCACAATGTTGCGAGGAAAGAATACATGTCGTACCATCTGCAAATTAATCCATATCTCTCGCTTTTAACCTACCAGCAGAATTGCGAATTGCAGCATCTCTGAGCGGGCAGCTGCGCTTGCAATCGCAGCCCTCATTTACGCTGAAGAGCAAGAATTGAATCCTTAGGCCCGATGTCCTGGTGTGATTGCCGTCGTCATGCTTCCGAGATGCCGCCATCGTGACGGCCAGCGCTCTTTCGACAAATCTCAACCGTTCGTCCCGTCATCCGACTCCCCCAACAATCCCTCCCGCACCGCCCCCCCCTCCTTCCGCACCAGCAAAACGCATCCCCGGCACAGCGTCTGCAGCCCGTCGAAGTTCGTCACGGAGCGCGCGTACTCGCTCGCGGGCTTCGTCTCCTCGCAGCGCGCGCACTTCTTCTCCTTCACGATCGGCGTCGAGAGCGGCTTCCGGTCCGCCTTCCACGCAAGGTAGCGCACCCGCTGGCACTTCTTGCAGTACGTGTCGTGGCCCGTCTTCAGCCCCTGAACAACAGAAATGACGATGTTGACAACGACAAATTACAATGATAATAATCATAACAATGGTAGAAGCATACTAACAGGTATCGGGGTTTCTCCATGATGACGACAACAGAAAATAGCAGCGACAGAGATAATCGGGGGCAAGGACCAACTCAAAGTCGCATCTGAGTGCCACGGCACCTCAGGTTTCAGTCCTCATCCGTATGCTTTGGGCCTGCGACTGTGACAACTTAGCAATCACTGCGACTAACAAACCCGTCACTGCCAAAGGACTCGCACCGACTTCGGTGCCACTTGTTGCCTCAAGCCAGACGCCCTGGGATCGGCTCGGTCACTTGAAAAGTGCAGAGCGCAAAGGAATCTGAACAAGGAACATTTATTTTTCAGGTCGGGGTCCGCGGACTTCAAGTCACCCGGGACCTGGGCACCCAAGAATCAGTAGCATCTCGCACCTTGTGCCGGCTGAACTCGCCGATGGGCTTCGTTTCGTGGCAGTGACCGCATTCTTGGTGGCTGATCTCTAGCCGGCGCTGGCCGACCCGCTCGCGGTACGCGGCCTGCTTGAGCGAGTCGCACGCGCGGCAGCGGAGCTTCAGGCCGTCGGGCTTGAGCGCGAACTCGAGCGCGGGGCGGAAGCGCTTGCAGTCGCTGCAGACGCGGCCCTCGAGAGACGCCTGCACGAGAGGCAATGTTTGAGGAGACGTCGAAGAAACTAAGATTGCGGAAGGAAGTGAAGCCTTCTTTGATATTCAATAGTAGTCAAAGACGCGCTGTAGTACGCCCAGACTGCTTCAGGGTAACGAGAAAGAGTGAGGGGAAGCGCCTGCAGCCGCGGCAGACGCGTCTCTCAAGAGACGCCTGCGACATGGGCGAGTACTGAGGAGTCAATAATATATGCTTGGAAATTTCTGGAATAGTGAATAACGAGAAAGGGTGGGGGGAAGCGCGCTGTAGACGCGACCCTCTACAGACGCTTGAGCAAAGACCGCGTATTGGCAATCATTCAAAACTTAAAAGTTTAGAAAAATGAACGACGAGAGAAAGTGAGCGGAAGCGTGCTGCAGACGTGACCCTCCAGAGACGCCTGCACAAAGGGCGCGTTTTGGCAATCATTCAAAGCTTGGAAGTTTGTAGTATAATGACATGATAAGAGTGAGCGAAAGCGCATCCAGACGCTGCAGATGCGGCCCTCAAAAGACGCCTGCACGAGAGGCCATGTTTGAGGAGACATTATAGACTCTTTATTGAAGAGGTAGCTGAAGATTTCAAACGTTGAAGACTCAAAACTCTAAGGCTTGTCGAAGACCCCTGCTGTAAGATGCAGAGACTCTGCCTTGATGACAAGAAGTGAGCCTTTGATCGAAGTCACTGCACACGCGGCCCTCCAGAGACGCCTGCACACAGGGCGCCTTTTTGTAGCCATTCCAACCTTGAACGTTTCAAAAACAATAATTCACGAGAGAAGGGTGAGCGGAAGCGCTTGCAATTGCTGCAGAAATGGCCCTCCAAAGACGGCACAAGGGGCAACGTTTGAGGAGACGGTGATGACGCCAATTCTTGGGGATGTAGACAAAGCACTTTTTGAGGAGTAGATAAAGGCTCTGAAGATTAAGGCGTCGCAGACTCAAGCGCAAGGCAATGAGTAGGCAAACGATGCTGCATTGAAGCGGCGTGGCAAGCCCGGCAAAGGGCGGAATTGGACGGAATGCAGTTCTGAAGAAGCCGTGGAAGAGGAATTGGGGAAGAAAATTGAAAAGTAAAAGGATCCTCAACGAGTCTGCGGCGAACCCTTTTCCTGCCGCCTCGGGAATGAAGACAGTCCCAATACAACAAAGCAAGCAGTCGTGGTGATTATCGAAGACGGGGAGAGGAACCCAGATTTTGAACATCACGTAAAGGCACAAGATTCCGCACATACCTGCGGCAGAATCTTGCCCCGCCGCCCCGCGTTGATGGCCGCATGGCAGGCCCGGCAGAAGGGGTTGAAGCCGTCGGCGGTGCTAACGGTGCGCGTGTAGTCCGCGAGCTCCTTCAGCTGCTCGCAGCGCTCGCACTGCTTCCCGCGCTGCCGCAGCGGGTGGTCCTTGAACGGGTCGTCGGCCTGAGGGAGACACCGGAGAGGCACTTAAGCTGGTTTGATATGTTACTTATGACGGTTTTCTTCCAAACATATCGACCTTTTAGTATAGGGGCTGCTCAGGCCGCTGCAAGAATTTCCAAGCAAGGGACATTGATGGTGATTGAGGAAATGAAAAGGTTATTTTTGAAGGTGGAAGGTCTCTTTTCTAAAAGCGACATATATCAACAACTGCCAGTACGTGTGTTTGCCTGCTCATGGTAGCAAAGATCTGCAACAGCAGTGGCTATAACACGAAGATGCCGAATCTTCTAAGAAAGTGTTTCTCATCAGCCATCAATTTGGCAATTCTATTACAAGACCGTTCGCTACCTGTCGTGGGGTCAGGTGGACATGCTTCGGGGATGATCCTCTCCTCCAGGTTGCAGCTTGGTCCAAAAGAGTAAAGTATGGCTTGGACCAAAACCCGAAGAACCCACCTTGGAGACTGCCGAGTTCAAGTTCGTCCGCATTCTTCTCTCCTTTCGCAACGCCGTCGGCACTGCGGGTCCTTGCGTCTGGAGATGTGACATCCCCTCTGCTTCCGCCGTAACAGTCCCGCTGTCGAGAGAGGGATCCCTCTCTCCTGGAATCGACAACCCCCCTCGAGCATCAGCCGCTTGGACTCGAAGGCCCCCCTGCGCCAACTCCCGTCTAAGTTCCCACAGCTCTCCATCATCGGCAGGGGGCCGGCTCCCGTTCGGTTCTCCACTTCCGCTGACGGCCCCGTTGTTCTGCGCGCCAACTTCTTCCGTGTTGCACTGTGATCGTAAGGCAGCCCCAGTTTCTATGCACCTAGCGCCGCTCTCGACCGCTGCGTCAAGTAGCGACTGCTGCTCTTTTCGTACCCCACTCGCAGCGTCAGAAGCGCGAGATTGTTGAAAGCCGTCCACAGGGACGAGACTTGCCTTCTTAGTCCCTGGCTTCCGACCCCTTTTCTTGGGCGTTCTGACTGGCTCTTGTGAGCCGTTCCCTCCATGTTCGCTTGTCAGTACTCCAAACATGTCTTCCACGACAGCCCCCGTGCCTTCGCTCTCCCCCAAAACACTCACTCCTTCGGGAACCCCCCTCAATTCCGCTTCATTCCCAACCCCCAAAAACAAGGGACGTGGATCTTTCCGAGTAGAAGCCCCATCTCCGCTCTCCCTATCCCCAGCTCCGCTCCCAAAGTCTGCTCCATCCACCTTGCCCAGGAGTACTGTTTCTTCACGCCCAGGTATGGAAGCAACCGCTCCGGCCCCCCTTGTTAAACTGGCTTGTCCACCCCCCTGAAAGGAAGCCGCCGCTTCCGTCCCTCTTGAGAACCCTGCTTCTCTACTTGTCTTTGGCGGTCGACCCCTTCTTCTTGGCGTCCCCGCCGGCTGCCCTAAACCACTTTGGCTACTATTGGCTGTCATGCTAGCTTCGGCCGCAGATGCACTTCTCTCGCTTGCCTCCTCAAGACTCGGTCCCCTACTCCCCTCCGCAGAGTCCCCTCTTTTGCCCCCTCCTGAGGGACCAGCTCTGTCGGGGCCCCTGGTTGCAGATGCTTCCCCTTTCTCACGCTCTGATACAGAATCTTCTTCTCTGACCCCCCTGGGGGAAGCGCCTCCCACACTACCCCCTTCAGATCTACTTCTTCTCCCTTGCAATCTGGCTACTATGCCCCCCTCCGCAGAACCAGCTTCTGTGCTTCCCCCTGCCAAAACTGCCACTTCCGTCCCCCCCATGAAAGGGTCCTCTTCACCCCGTACACCGAACTCGGCTCCTCCATGCTCTGCCCCTCGCTCAGGCCCCCCTTTTCGCTGCGCGTTGGCTCCAACACCTTTTCGAGGGGCATACTGTTTCCACGCCCCCAGACTCTCCAACCGCTCCCCACTATACTCCCTACTATCCAAACCTTCGTATGCCCCACCTTTGCCTAGAGCGCCGCTGACTGCAACATCTTGATCCATAGTGGCACCGTCCGATTCGCCTCTGCTCACAGCGTTTTGAAAGAGGCTACTTTCGGACGTCCCCATGGCTGGCGCTGTCCGAAGCCGCCCGCCGGCCCCCTCTGCCCCTCGCTCTGCTGACTTTCCCACATTTTGACAGGCGCCACCAATCATAGATGGTCGGCCCGTCCCTGAAAGCAGAAGTTTGACCGACCCCGCAGTGTTATCCAACGCAACTCCTCTGGACAGCGCGCCCTCACATCCCTCTCTTCCATTGATCGACATCTCCCTATCAACCACAGGGTCCAAGCTCATTATACTGCGTGCCTTTGCAGCGCCCCGGCGCCCCACGCATCGATGATGGCTCGTCTGCACGTCGCCCAGCTGCTCTAACCAGCTGCCAACCACCCTGAAAGTCGCCACTTTCACGGGCCGAGACTCTTCTTCAAAATCAAAGTTGTCAAGTTCGGCGCCGGGCGCATCTTGCTTCCTGGTTTTGGCACTTGTCTTGGCACTGGTGGCTACCTTCGCCTGTGCGGCGCTCGCTTTACAGCTGCACCTGGTGCTTGGAACCCTAGAAAACGGGTTAGAGCTGACCGGCCCCCCAGACCGTGCACAACCACCTATTAATGAAAGCCCGCCAGTGCTAGGCGCCTTGAAACATGGTTTGCAAAGGGAGCCCATCAACACTGGGAAATGCTGACAGCTGTTCTTCAGCCCTACCTCCCCGGGTTGTGCAGCTGCAATGGAGAGCACGCGACGGTCCTTCCAAAGGAAGCCTGGTGACGATGCTGCCTCCATGACCGCAATGCTGCCTGACTACAATGTGAGCGGCGCCGCTCATTCTGAGAGGGTTACGCCGGAACCTTCAATTCATTGAGAGGACTATTGAGGCCAACCAAAAGGGAAGGCTCCCCTGCGAGTTGCTGTGTGGGCTACTCCTCCCCCAAGGTTGAAGAGGGGCTGTTTCAATTTGGCATTTGGGAAAGCCAGGAGCTCCAGGTGGCCCCGGGTGTCGGACCGCCCTTCTGCTGCAAGGCGCGAGGTATGAAGTGCGCGCGCCCCCGCGTTACACTCAAGTGCTAACCGGATTAGTGTTTAGCCTAATGAACCGGGTTATGCTTCGCGAGGTTCCGAGCGACCCAAACGCGCGCGGCCCGCCGGCCACAGGCTTGGCACTGACTGCGCGGCCGCGGACGTCGTGCGCGCAATGCGTGCCGCCCATCTGACCATCTGGCCCATGTGCAGTGAATCATCCGTGCCCAGACCACTGACGCTGCCACGGCCCTGTCTTGATTGCGCCTGTCAGGTTGCCAACTCTCGGAGAACCTCTCAGATCCCTTTTCTTTGATCCCTTCTCAAGAGACGTGGCGTCAATCAACATCTAATTCGTACAGCTATTGCGTTGCTCGCATCGCTTTCAATGAGAAAACAACGAGTTTTGAACGGGGATGGTCGTCCTAACAGCAATCCGGAGATAGATCAGCCGCTTTCCATGTAGATCAAGCGTCTCGCTCGCTTTTCGGTGCCTGTAGCTTATAGTGCTTTACATCAGGCTTTACATTTTGAGCAGCGGGGATGCGAATCTAGAGAGCAAATGTATGCTCGTGCCGTCATGCCGATCATCTGTCTGAATTTTGTCACGAGAGGTTCATCATCAAGATCGAAGCACTTCACTTCAACAGGGACTCTCTTGCATGTCGGATGCTTCAATGTCGTCTGACGAGATTCGCAGCGCAGCATCCCAAGCATGCGAGAATCTCGCCCCACGGCCATATCTGGAAATTCCTCAATCAGTCAAATATTGAGATTGACTCAACCAGATCATGACATCTGCATTGTAAATACAAGTATAAAAGATGGACCCCATACATTCGACCATCTTTACTCCTATCCTTCTTGTCTGGACACTGAAAGTGGTTGTTTATGGATGATAACATTGGAGGGGCGCACTACTTCTGGACAGCATATAATTGTGGCATTCACATCGGGGAGAGTGTCGCACATGCAAAACTGATATTATCAGTACTAAGTTAAACTGCGGGCAGCTCGAATGAGGTTCGAGGCAGGCGCTGCAATCTTCCGCAAGTTAACCCGTTGCAACATTGGAGCAATTTATAGACTAAAGAAATGCATATCTTGCAATAAACAACACTGCATTCTTCTCAAGACATGGAAAAGGTGCCCAGTGGCGGCAATCAAGTTAATTCTCACTCCACGTGTATATCATTCACTGGCTGTGAGCTAAAGCAGATAATCCGCAATGTGCTGTGTACCGTTCAAAAAGTCGACATCCTTTAACGAATGGAATGATCAACAACTGGTTGTTTGTGACAACCAGAGACCACAGCTTTATGGACGTTGCAACTGTATAGCTTTCATTTGCTCGTGAAAGAGCGGACTCTTACAAGGGGTGACATTAGAGAGTGTGAGAGGTAGTATACATAGAAGTGTCCACCCTGTTCGTCGTTCCATCGACGGTCGTCCTTCCTGACATCCGGCTCACACAAGAGCAGATATGCCGGTTTTGTAAATTACATTAACACAAGTTGCGACTTTTGACTTTCTTTGCTTCACTCCCACTGCAATGGCAGTTGGGGTTGGCCGTTCACAGAACACAAAACATCAGCTAATAGCCTGCTCTTCTTTCTATAATGGATACCGCTTGCTTTACGAGGCCTTGCTGAACTTATAGTCCATGTCAATTCCGGCCTTTCGGAAGAGCCCCGCCACCAGATTCCGCCGGAGCACCTCCTTGCTCAACTCCTCGACAGCGGCCTGCAGACAGGAAAGAGAGTATCAGCAGCTGACACGGGGGAGACGAGCCAAGCAAGATTGCAAAAGAACGACCGCACAAAAAGACTGGTTCAAGAGGCCATCATTCCAACCACACCGTATACCGCAAAGCTCTTGGAACCCAGACAATTTTTTTGATGAAGACGACCATTCTCAAGAGTTCGTAACATCGTGTCGAAATCAAACAAGAACATACAACATTCAAAAGTTCAGAGGCAACAATCTCTTCGACGACGATGAATCCTCTGTCTCTCTGAAAATGAGGTTCAACATCCTGTTCGTACCGTGCCATATCCTCCTCTCATATTCGACTAAAGCCTCGCCTTGCTGTCTTTTACACGTTCGCGCCTTCTTGGAACTCGCTTAGATGACCAGCACACGGCAAAGCGGCTGGGGGAAGCACTGCGCGAAGTCGCTCACCTGATCGGCTGAGGTTTTGACGTGTGCGTGCAGCTTGACCTTTTGCAGATAAGGGGGCGCGTCGCCCACGCCCAGATACCCCCTCACATCGAACGTGCCGGCCACGTCGAAGTCGATGCCCTCCAGCGGAATGTCCTTCTCCTTGGCAACAGAGTGCGCCGTGTACTGCAGAAATGCAAGGACTCAATTATCAGAGAAATGTGGTGACGAGAAGCGCTTTTCGAGTCAGCGAATTTGATGCGAAGGTCGAAATTCGCCGCCCCTCAATCCTAGAAGAGGTTTCGTGCCTACTTCGAAGGCTCGCGCAAACCTGCGACTTGTTGCTGTCTAGAATGGCAGCAGTAGTTCGCTCGGGCCAGCACATTCAATGATGGCCCTATCATAGTTCCCAAAGTGAGTCCAACTCCACGTGTCTCCTTTCTGACTGGAAAGCGAAATGGCTAGAGAACGTGAGCAAATATTCCGCGGAAACTCCTTGCTGGATCGTGGACCGTTTCAAAAATTCCGGGAAAACCTTCCACGCGAAAAGGAAAGACTAAAATATACTCATTTCCCATCTACTCAGTCGGAAGCATAGTGTGGGGGGCTGCCGCAGATTGGAAAAGTGCGAGCAGCTGTTCCGCGGAGTATCTTGCTTGTGGGTAATTTATCGCAAGCTTTGATGAATTCTGCAGGCTCTGAAGGTACTCTGGTCCAAGTTCTACTCTACGTCATCAGATTTTGCGTATTATGTTGCTTGACTGGTGAGCCCCTGCAGAGTACTCATGTTTACCCCGCAGCGACTTCAACCATCTGCTCAAGATTATCCTCCCTCCAAAAAAGAATATGCAGATTCTCAAACCTTCCTGTTGTCTGTGCCCATTTCGTTTGCCCATGCCAGAAACCGTTAGCTTAGGATCTTACCTGGGTGCATCCAGTCAAGCTGGCCAGTAAAGTACTAAGTGGATCAGGACCTTTGTCTGTGCCACCTGCTCTTACAGGCTCGTCGGTTGTAAGCTGCAATAACAATGAGAGATGCTTGATCAGGATCGGGCTGCAAGAAAGGTAATCGTCGGATTTGTGCCTGAGGTTGATGGCTATTCTTGACTGGCGATCATTGACTACAATATCGTACTACAGTTTATCTCTATGATCCGCCCCTCAAAGATACTGCATGCAATGAAAGCACCAATGAAAGCACCCTCTGCTTTCATGCTTTCATGTGATCAAGGGTTGTCCCGTGCTGAAAGACTTGTTGCTCATGCTGGCTCCAAACAAACCTTTGTTAATGACCAATCAAACCCTCGTTGATGACGTTGTCTGCCAGGTACATGTGATGTAAAGATGCCTTATTCGAAGTTGTTTCGGAACAATCGTGCTAAGATTTCTTGTATACAAGTTGAATAGAAACTTCCACAATAGGCGCCTCCAGACTTCTGTGAGCTGAACAGTTTTACCTTGACAGAGGCTTGAAGTAACAGCAGGATGGGCAACAGGGCCAGATCTGCTCAATCATGATGCTGTCTTTCGCCAAGACAGCTGAATGCATGCACCGTGATCTCTTTCTAATTTCCAGAACAAAGCGGCCATTGAGGACCTGTGGGGAACGGAAGTGCATCAGGTCCCACATCCACCAACCTCGTGCTTCACTGCCTGGTGCCTGCATGCCATCCCCTCTCCTGCAGACGTCACATTCACCGTCCGAAAGTGTGGCTCGTCTTCCTTGATGGACGCCGAGCCAGCCCCCCCGTCTGTGTTTACTGATCGCACTGCACAGGCCGGATCTAAGGTGCGCGGGACTGCCTCCTGCAGCGGGGAGACATAACTAGAGAGGGGCGCGCGGAGCGTCCGCCTGCTGTGGACCAGCATGCGCAGGTTGCGCGCCGCAGTTGTCATGATTGCGCTGCGCTTATCGCAGTACCCAGTAGCTCAGGACGGATGAGGTGGTCGTGATGAGTTGAGACAGATAGATCCAGAATATATGCCGAAGGGGTGGTAATTACTTCTCTCTTGGCCTGAGATTTGGCGCCCTGGTTTTGCAGGAGCAATCTAATTTTCTCAGCGTTCGAAAGCTGTTCAGATCTTGCCGGCCATCTTCTCAATCAAGTACCTAGCTCAGCAGTCTACCCAAGTAACAGGAAGAAACGTGGGTGCCTCGGAAGACCCCAGCTGTCCACCCCGGGCGGCCTGTCGCATGCAAGGTGCCCGTCTCCAGTTTTGACCCAACTCTGCTGGGGATTGTTTGAAGTTTCCCCTTTCACAAAACAGAATCCCACGAAAGCGCATCGCAGCCTTCGGTCTATCCGATACATGGGCATCGACGGTTTGAAGCGCCAGCACTTACTTCTTCCTGACACCAGTGGAGGTCCTACTTGGCAAATGTAAACCTACCGGTAGCTTTTCTGCTGGAAAGACTTCAAGAAGTTGGGAGAGAAGGGGCGCCACATCTCTGGAGCTGTTGGAGGTCTTGAATACCGTATTGCGAGCGACTTGGGGGAATAGGCAGGGCGATCCGCCTTGTCAAAGAATCCGTAACAGGGGGGTGCTCGAACAGGCTCGAGACACCCCCTATGAGGACACAAGGACTAGCCTACCCTACATAAGTCTGTAAGGGGAAGGTCACTTTGAAGTGGTACCCCCCCTAATTA